GTGACATAAAACATCTCTATTCTCCCTTTACAGATCAAGAAACTGAGGGGAGGGAGAGGGAAGAAAGATTTCCTGCAGAAAGAGAACTAGGGCTCAGATTTCCAAGGTGAATGGGAGGCAGACAGAGTGGTTAAATAATTGCACTAGGGAGGAAGGCCCTGGTATGTGTAGCTGGCACTTTTCCAGGGAGAAAAACTAGACTGACAGACATATGTTTTCTGGTGGGTGGGGAGGTGAGCACTATTGTGAGCCTGGGTGCAAGACCCCTCAGGATTCCCTCCCTTCCCGCCTTCTCGGATCTTACGCGTGCCTAGCCCCTTCTGGGGAACCCACATCTGTTACTGGGAAGAGGGTACGCTGGATGACAGACACGAAAAACAAACCATAGGAACTGCACTCCCACACACTGTGTGGCATTCTGAGGTCAAGGCCCTTAACTGTGGTGATTCCTCCAAGCCCCTCTGCCCTGTGAGCCCTCGCAGCACAGCCAGGCCTCTTGCTCTAACAGCTCTATGTCTTCAACATAAACACAGGTCCTCATCCACAGTCACATACATCTCTTCAATGTTCTAACCAACAGTCACTTAACTCACAGTGCACACTCACACGCATTATTTCATTCAACCTCATCGCAGCTCAGTGAGGTGAAGTATTATTGTGTCCGATTATGGATTAGGACAGCGAGATCCACTGAAGTGATGTAACTTGCTCAAGGTCACATACCTAGTAAGTGGCTGATACAGGATTCAAACCCAGATCTGTCTGAATCCGAGGTCTGTTCTCTTTGAATAACTCCTCACATTTTCATGAGTATCTGTATTTAATCCCCAGAGCAGGGGTGGGAAAGTGAAAGGTCCTTGGTCCCTTTGTGAAGGTGATGTTGCTCACCCTAGCAAGGGTAGAGGACTTGCCGAAGGACACTCTCTGGGAGGTGCTGCCATCAGGATCCAGGCCCCTGACTCCCAGGCTAGAGGACACTTCCTCCCAGACCATATTGCCATTCCCATCAGACCATCATGTCATTTCTTTCTCTGATTGGGAGGAGGAGCCAGTAGCCAACACGGACCACAATCTGTCTGCCTGAAGTCTCCTTCTGTCACAAGAGGAGGGTTTTAAAAAGTGCATTTCATTTGGGAGCCAAGTTAGATCACACGCGTGTGTGTTGAATTGGCCCGAGCTTCCCCGGTGCAGCTCCAGGTTTCTCTTCTCATCCCCTGGGTAACAGAACAAGGCAGCGGCTCTCACAGCATCATGGCCTGCTCAGCTCATGTGCGGCCCCACCAGCCACCCTTAACTCCCTCCGATCACTAACTAGCACCTCTTCCCCACTGACACCCTCTAGTCACGTACCAAATTCCCTCATTCCACGGCACCACCAGAATTGAGGCCTGAATCACCTCCCACCTGATGATCAAAGCAACCTCCTAATGCGTGTCTCCAACTACAGGCTTGGCCCCTCCAGTCTGTCCTTCCCACTGTAGCCAGAGTGGCTTCCACCACAATTTAAAACTTTCCTATTGCTCCCATTGTTTTCATGTTCAAGTTCAATTCCTTACAGCCTGTCCTTCAGTCTCATCTCTTGCATCTGAAGTCCTGTAGCCACCCTGAGCCATGCACAGCTCCTGCAGACACCCTCCTCTTCTCTCTGTTGGCAGTGTCCCCCCTCTAACAACTCACCCCTGTAAAATCTGGGTAATTTCTACTCAGTCTTAAAAACTCAGCTTAGATGTCACTTCTACTGGGAAGCCATCCATGACCTTCCAAAACTGTGTTTGGGAGGTCATGTAAAGACATTTTTGTTTTTAGTATGTTCACTGTTTCATCCCCTGTGCCTAGAACTTACCTTGCTTGTGGTGGACACTCAACACAAATTTACTAAGTGAAAGTTTCCCACGGCCCTCTGGAATCCTTCCCCACAGAACTCATCATATATATTATAGATGCCTCTTTCCTCTTCTGTCTCCCCAAGGAGAGTGAAAGCTCTGAGTCAGGAACTATGCCTTCCTGGTCAGCATTTTAGCTTGGGCCCCTGGTCTGACTCCTGCATGTCCTGGTGGCATGTTTACGTGTGATGAACAAGGACTGGGCACTGAGGAGAGGAAACTGTGGCCTGAGCTAAGGGGGAAGGCACTCTACTGAGAAATACATTTACTTTCGACACAAAAGCATGTCAGAGGTGCCAAGAAAGGATGGGAACCCTCAAATTCGACATCAGACACCAACCACAAACTGAGTGCAGGCTCCTGCACACAAACTCACACCTCACTATGATCAGGGGTTGCAGGATCCCCTCTACCTTCTTTGCCACAATACCATGTGGAACAAAACTGGTGGGTGCAGTGTAGAATGTGACCTATGCATGTGCTACAGGAGTTAGGGGATCATAGAGAGGGCATGGGCCATACATGATTAAGGGCGTGTGCTTTGAGGTGGCAGGGGGGTGGTGTGGCACTTGATAGATGGCCAGGACTTTAGAAACCAAGGGTCCTCTGCCTGTTCCTTAGCCAGGCCATAGTTAAAGGTTATGAAAGCTGACTTTAAGATGACTGCCTTAGTCTGGGTGACTCTCACCATCTCTCCAGTGCTCTGTGGGTCTGGAACATTTCTCAAACACCCAGCTGACCTGCTGCTCACCCCTCCATCTGGGTTTGTCACCCTGCCTCCCATGATCCCAGCTAGGGAATTGGACCTCCCCCCGCCACCCCCTGCAGAGCCACTAGGCTGCAACCGACTAGTCCTAAGTTACATCGCACATAGAAAGGATGTTTTCCTGCCCAGAGTATGGTAGACACTCCATAAATACTCACCATGAGTTGAATAAAGGCTAAAAGGAGCACCTGTACTTTTGGGGGAGAATTTAAATATATACACAGTTAATTTATTTCCTCTCCTTTCTCCTCCTTCAACTATAATTCTTTCTCTAAGAAAACTTAGGAAAGGAGAAATGTGTCAATCCAAAAAACAAAAGGATAAAGGAAAACAGACACTGTCACAATCTGTCACAACTGTCATGCTGTGACCTTGAAATTAAAATCAACACTCAGGGAACTAGATTGACTCAATAACCCCTAAAAATTCAAGCAAGCTAGAAAGTAACCTATAATTTCAGCATGGCATGCTTGGGGGTTTTCGGATAAATTGTATGAGGAAAGACAATTTGGCAGAGGAAATGCAAAGAGCAAGGTGTGCAGAGGATGAGAGGGAAGAGAGGGAAGGCGGAAGGGAGGCAGAGCCAGAGAGGAAAGGAGGATGGGAATAAGAGGATAAGAGGGAATACAGAGGGAGGGGAGGGAGGAAGGGGGTTTAGAGAAAGAAACACACAAAACAGGAGGGAAGGGAGAGATAGAGGAGAGGGGACAAGGGGGGTATCAGTAAAAGGAAAAATAGTGAGCAGAAAGAAAAGAAAATGAGAAAGCAAGAGAATAGAAAGATAGAAGAGAAAAGAGAAAATATAGTTTTAAATGTTCAGGGTTAGAAAGAGGAGTGAAGACCATCAGGGTCTTCCTCAGCAGCTCCGGAGATGGTCCTCCAGCCTGTGTGCTCACACACCTTAGATGGCAGAAGACTCTCTCATGAGGAGCAGAGGGGAGAGAGAGGTGGGGCAGCATAAAGTAGAGGGAGGCCGTGGGTCCAGGTGCCTGACCAAGACTTGAAGCACAGCAGAGGCAGCTGGGAGAGGGCGTCCATTAAAGGGCGAGGGGGAAAGAGGACAATGCAAAGATGCCACCAGCAGAGCCAGCCATCTCCATCCTCACCCCACGGGAGACCAAATTCCTGACCTGTCTAGTAAATCCTGCCAGGCCTGGCTGTGGGCTGGCCCAGGGTAGGGTGGGGACTTGCCAAGGATACAGGCTTCCTCGGTGTAGGGCACCGCAGCAGTGGTACCCCCGCTGATGTAGCTGTAGAAGGAGACCTCCAGGGTGTAGCAGGAGGAAGTGTGGTCCAGGAGGCCACCGAGGAAGCGGCGGCCAGTGCCTGCCTTCACGGCGTCTCGGTTGAAGGATGTGCTGGACTGTGAAAGACAAGGAGGAGCAGAGAGTCAGGGCAGGATGCCTGGGCTACCAGACTTTGCGCACACTACCTCTGGGCCTCAACTTCCTCATCTGAAAAGTGGGATATTAGTCCCACATCACAGGTTTAGTAGGATGACTGAATAATGAAACAAACAGCATTAAAACAAAAGCATCCAGCAGAGCTCCTGGGGCACAGTAACTGCCATTTAACAAATACAGGGGTGGGCAAAAGTAGGCTTACACTCATGCATATAGGAAACACTGCTTTTGCCCATCCCTGTATTTGTGAAAATCTGAATGGGGAACAGATGGAGCAAAGGAATGTGGACAGAGAATAAGAAGCAATATGTAATACTATATGTAACACTTCAAACAATAACATAAAACTTGAAAAAAAAGTACTGTACTATGATGAAAATCAGAATTAAAATTTGGGCAGTGATTTCAACTTAATCATATTGTTTCCCCTATAGCAGTATCTCATTTGGGCTTCAAAAATAACCCCCTTAGAACTGTAAATTAGTGCAGCTACTATGGACAACAACATGGAGAGATTCCTTAAAAAATTAAGAATGGAGCTACCATATGATCCAGCAATTCCTCTTCTGGGTATGTACTTGGAAAATTTAAAAACACTTATTTGGAAAGATAGATGTACCCCTATGTTCATTGCAGCATTATTTATAGTAGCCAAGACACGGAAACAACCTAAGTGCCCTTTGACAGGTGATTGGATAAAGAAGATGTGGTACATACTGAGCCATAAAAAAAGATGAAATACTGACATTTGTGACAACATGGATGGGTCTTGAAAGTATCATGCCAGGTGAAGTAAGTCAGATGGAAACTGATTCCACTCAGATGTGGGATATTTAAAAATAAAAGCAACAAATGAACAAACAAAACAAATGAAAAACCAAAATCATAGATACAGACAACAGAATGGTGGTTAGCAGAGGGGACAGGGGGTGCAGAGAGGACAAAGAGAGTAAACCGGGTCAAATAAAGGTGAGGAAAGGAGACTAGACTTCCGGTGTAAGCACACAATAGAGGATACAGACATAGTAACCAGTATTGCCCCAATAAATTTAATGGAAAAAAAATACTCCTTGGTGTGTGTGTGATAATTTTGCCCCTCTAAGGTGAGGAAGAGGGTTCAGAGGTGGAGCACGTGATACAGGAGACGTGAACCAAGGGATAAGTGACTTCAGAACCTGCCGCACTCCTTCACATGCTCCCCACCCATCTGCAAAGGCTGACCTCACGTCTGACCTCACGTCCAGCCTCACCAGAGAGCAGGGATCATGGCAACTTCGTCACTGAGTGTTCCCACACTCATCACAGTAGGGAGAGGAGGGAGCAAACAGGTCAGTGCCTCAATGCCCCTGCCCTGTTCAGAACATGTGACATGGAGTCCACTGGCCTTCATATCTTCATCTGTAGAGTGATCATAAAATCTCTTTCAAGTCCTGGCCGGTTTGGCTCAGTGGGTTGAGCGTCAGCTTGCGGACTGAAGGCTCCCGGGTTCGATTCCGGTCAAGGGCATGTGCTCGACCCCCCAGTAGGGGGCATGCAGGAGGCAGCCGATCAATGATTCCCTCTCATCATTGATGTTTCTCTCTCTCTCTCCCTCTCTCTTCCTCTCTGAAATCAATAAAAATATATTTAAAAAAATAAAAAAATCTCTTTCACAGCGGTGTGAGGGTCAGTTCACTTGTGGTTACAAGGGCATCTGTGCTGACACATGAAGATCTAAGTACATGAAGGGATGATGGTTTTAATAAAAAAAAAATGTGTGTCTTATTCAGCAGGAAGTAAGAAAAGAAGGCAAAGACAGAAAGGAAGAAGGAGAAAGAAAACAGCAAAACAAGACAGAAAGACATGGAAAGAAACAAATATGTGTGTGTTGTGGTAAAGGAGAGAATCAGAAAATCATATATCAGATCTTAAAGGACTGTTGAAGTCCACATAGTGAAATGCAACTCTCATTTTAGAGCTGGTCACTGAGGATCAGGGAAGAGGGGAAATAGGTTGGAGTAGGATAGATGACTTTGACCCCGGCCTTGAGCTCCTAAGGGGGCTACAATGCAGGAACATAATCAGGAAGGCCAGAAATAAATCTCCTAGATGGTGCCCCTTTTGTTGGCCCTAGAAACCTTACCCCTGTGAAGGTCTCTGAGGCCTATGGCCCAGCCTCCCAGGGAACCCGGAGCCAGGAGACCACAGTCTGCTCTGGAATTGGAGTGGTTTTAAAAAGACAAGGGCTGACCATCCGATAGAGATTCCCACACAAACGAGGATGGCTGCTTTTATCCCAGACTTACCAATAGGGAGCCACCTGCTTGGATTACACCACCAAACCTGAGGGACTTTGCTATATATACCCGACCTCGCTAGGCCATAGGCGGTCTTTTAGGTGTAAAGAGGAAACTGGGCTAAATAATCTCCCCCAACCTCTTGTGGTCTGGCATTCAAAGATTCTGAGATTCAAAGTGCATCTTACCTCCTGGAGAAATTTATCATCTCCACCAATATCCAGGCCTGAAGCAACAGGCAAGGCCAGTGTTCATCAACCTCAAAACTTGCTCTCACCTTTGTGCTCCCCACCCCGCACCTCTGGCCACATGGGAAAAACAGGCCTCAGAGATTTGGTATCAAAACAAAGGCAACCTCACAAACTATCTCCCTTGTCCCCACGCCACATGCTGACTCCCCTCTTTATCTTCTCTCCCAGTCCTTTTCCAATATTGCTTTTGCTGCAAATTATTCTAACCGCCAGCCTACAGTCTCTCAGGCCTCCTCGGCATGTGAGGTGGGTAGTAACATGCTCCTGGGGCCTGCTGAGGTCTTTTCTGCCTGCAGAGTGCAGTCTATTGCTGAAGTTGTCCCCCCAGGAAGCTATGACACAGGCAGGGCAGGAAATTGTCACCCACAAATTACTGACAAAGAAACTGAGGCACAGAAAGCATCATGAAGGAAGAGAACGGTGCATGTGTAACCCCTTCTGCAGACATGACAGGCTCCTACTGATGGAACTGGGGCAGGTGAAAGCCAACCAGGAGCAGGCCTGGCATGTGCTGGGTGCTCAGTTGCTCAGTGAGTTTCTTGTCTTAATGCTGGAGTCAGATCAACTACACAAATGCCAGCTCCTCAGACAAACCAAGCACTGGCTGCCACATCAGAGTCTCCCTCCCCACTGGTGAGGAGCAGCCTGAGGGCAGGCACGGCTTATTACCTCTGTTTTTATCATCCACATCCACGCACAACCTGGTACAGAGCTGGTGTTCTGTGAATGTTAAACCAAACTGCACTGAGGGAGAGAAAGAGTGGGAGGGCAGAGGGAGTGGGCCGGGAGAGGCTGGGCCTGGCCGGAGGGAGCCCTGGCTTACATAGGAAAAGTCCTCAGCGTTCTGGCAGAGCAGTTTGGGGAAGATGGCCTGCCTCTGGAAGCGCTCCTCATCCTCAAAGACATTGCCGTACATGAAGCCATTCATCATGGTGGAGTGAGCATGGATGTCGATATAGAACTCCAGGCTTGTCTTCTGTTGAGAGAGAGGATAACAAATGAGAAGTCTGGGGTCACAGAGCACACTTTAAAGGAACCAGACACACCACACGTACACACACACACACACACACACCACACACATGCACACACACACACCACACATACCACAACACACATGAACACACACATGCGCACACACATGTACGTATGTGCCACACATACAAACCATACAAATGCACACATGCACATACATGTACACACACTTTCAAGCTGGCCCTACCTGTCAGCCCATTTAGCAACCATTTGATTGGAGGGGTTGAGACAGTGAAAATCAATTTCTGCGCACATATAATACCACCTGCCCTTGGGTCTGAGAGCACTACCTCTGTAAAGTTCTCCGAAAGAAGTGAGGTTTTTGTTGGTCAAGTCCTGAACAGTTAATACACTCAAGACTAAACACAGTAGCAGAATTTGTTTCTCTGATTAATTAGAAATATGTTGAGGCAACATAATTATGTTTACATTGGGCCTGCTTACGGTTTGGCCCTGACTGGCCATTTCTAGCTGAGGGCTCTGGAGTAAATCATGGTCCTACTTTGAGCCTCCGCTTCCTTATTTGAAAAGTGATTATTTTAATTCCAACCTCAGAGAGTTACAGTGAGAATCAAATATCACAATAATTGTTACTATCGTTTACTACATATTTAATGTATGCCGGCACCATTCTGGGAACTTCACCTATGTCCTCTTAGTTATTTATTTTATTTAACCTCATTTCATGATTCCACACCTACTCCCCAATAGTATATACATAGTGCCTGGAAAAAACACACCTTGTGACTAGCCTTTCTCTGCTCTCTTCTTACACATGTTTAAGGCACTTCCTCTCTTGGTGTGGTTTATGTGTTACCATTCCCTCTATGAGCTCCCTGGAGGTAGGGGGTTGTCTGTAAAGAGCCCCGGGCCTGTGCATCAAGGCTGCTCAGCATCTGTGTGCAGAACTCAACAAGAGAGAAGACTTCAGACACGGTAATGAGCTGGCAGGAATTGAGGAATATTTAGCTCCTCAGATCTTCAATGTCGCTCAAATCCAATTTTGTCTTCCTATAGATCAGTCCAAGTCATGGCTATTAATCCTTCCTCAGAGTATCAGAGGCCCCCAATGGGGAGTGGACTTGCCCAAGCACACGGCATAACTGGGACTGAAACCCAGTTTCTGGACGCCTGGCACAGTTAACTTATCAACATCAGTGGCCAGTGCTGGAAACAGCCAGGGCAACACCTGGCCACATGCCTGTCCCTTTTCTAGAGTGTGGTCCTGGGGAAAAAGGAAAGTCTACGCTTTGAGGGATTGTCCCTCCTTGGGACACTTTCCAACGAAGTTAAAACCAAATGAAAACCATGCTGCTTCTAGAACAGTGGTTCCCAACCTGTGGGTCGTGACCCCTTTGGGGGTCGAACGATCCTTTCACAGGGGTCACCGAAGATCATCGGAAAACACATATATAATTACATATTGTTTTTGTGGTTAATCACTATGCTTTAATTATGTTCAATTTGTAACAATGAGATTGGGGGGTCACCACAGCATGAGGAACTGTATCAAAGGGTCGCAGCATTAGGAAGGTTGAGAACCACTGCTCTAGAATGTGGGCCTGATGACTGTCATTTCATTTGCCTCAGAGTTGGAGTGAAGCATGACGCCTTGCCGCACTCCCAGTTTCCTGGGTAGCATAAGCTGTCTTTTGAGACATATAAGATGCACTGCTCTGTGTGATATTAAACTCATCATTTTCAGCTTTGGTGGTGGAATACACAATGATTCAACAGCAGCCCTATAAAAGTCTTCTTGCAATTTTATTTTCTTCAATTGCTTGTCCTTTCCTCTAAGCTTTTGATGAGCTGCAGAGGAAAGGAGGAGGTAGAGAGATGACTTAGGAAATGTAGGAGGAAAAACTGCACTTTACATCTCGGGATGTCAGAGCTAGAGAGGGCCTTGGACACCAGCTTCTCCGACCTTTCCCGGGTCAGCCCTGAGCGGAGAGGCTGTTCGCTGCAGGCCCACCAGTGAATTGGGGCCGGAGCAAGAACTAGGCCCAGTGATGGCGAACCTATGACACCTCTGACATGCGAACTCATTTTTTTGGTTGATTTTTCTTTGTTAAATGGCATTTAAATATATAAAATAAATATCAAAAATATAAGTCTTTGTTTTACTATGGTTGCAAATATCAAAAAATTTCTATATGTGACACGGCACCAGAGTTAAGTTAGGGTTTTTCAAAATGCTGACACGCCAAGCTCAAAAGGTTCGCCATCACTGATAGACCCTGGCTCTTCTGATAATGATCCTGAAGTGGCTTCCACCGCCCCATCCTGACACCTGGCACCTAATGTGGTTTAAATGACCAGCAGGTGAATTATATTGATTGATTTACATGGCTCAAAAGTAAAAAATATAAATATACGAAAGTATTTACAGTGAAAAATCTCCTTTCCACTGCTGTCCTGCAAACACCCAGTTTCACTCCCTAGAAGCAGCTCATGTTACCAGGCTCTCATGTGTCCTTCCAGAGATGGTTTAAACCCAAACATTCCTCCCCCTGCCTCCCAACACACACACATGGTAGCACACCAAGCACACCATTCAAAGCTACTTTTTAATCTCTTAATATGTCGTGGAGGTATTTTTTCTAAGTACATAACAACCATATATTCTTTTTAACAACCATATATAATTATTTCACGTCTCCTGTTGATGAACATTTATTTACAACCGTTTCTTGTTACAAATAATGTCTTAGTGACTGACTCTGTATATGTACTATTTCACACATATACAATTATATGTAGGATAAATTCCTAGAAGAAGAATTTCTGGGTCCTCTGCGCTTTTGCAATTTGATAAATATTGATTAACCTCCTTGGGAGGACCAATTTACACTCCTACCAATATATTACAATGTCTCATTGTCAATTACCTTGATGAGATGGGTGAAATCAAGTTTGTGTGTGTGTGTGTGTGTGTGTGTGTGTGTGAGCTCTCCATTTTTTAAAATTTTTTTATTAAGTTATTACATATGTGTCCTTATCCCCACGTTACCCCCTACCACCTCCCCCTCATGCCCTCACCCCCCTGTTGTCTGTGTCCATTGGTTAGGCCTATATGCTTGCATATAAGTCCTTTGGTTGATCTTTCCCCCTTGCCCCACCCTCCCCTACCTTCCCTCTGAGGTAAAATTTGCCAATTTGATGGGTGAAAAATGACATCTCAGGTTAGTTTTAATCTGAATTTCTCTAAGTATAATTACCTTTTATTATATGGTTAAGTATCTTTCCATATGTTTAAGAACTATTAGTATTTTCTTTTCTATGAGTTGTCTGTCCATTTCCTTTGTTTTAAAAACTGAATTGTTGGGCTTTATTTCTTATTGATTTATAGAAACTAGGTGTTAGGGAAATTAGACTTTGTGTGCTGTACAAAAATATTTTTGCACAATTTGTCATTGTTTTTGCCTTTACAGGTACTTTTTGCCATGCAGAAATTTTTAAATGCTAATTTTTACACAGATTTATCAATATTTTCTCTTGTGATCTCTGGGTCAAATTTTTCCTTTTTTTCCTCTACTAGTTTTTCATATTTAAATATTTTCTTTCAGTTTTAATTTACATGGTGTAGGGTGTGAAGTAAGAATTAAACTTAATTGCCTGATACTACTTATTAAATTGTGCACATCTTTTTACCACTGACTTGAAAAGCCATCTTTACCATATCATTTTTTGTATGTATTTGGGTTTACATTTGGCTTTTAGTCTATTCTAATCATTTTTCTATGCATGTGTCAGGACTATACAGTTTTGATTATGTTAAGTTTATACAGTATTTTAATATGTGGAAGGCTTCTTCTCATTATGCTTCTTTCCCTAAATTACCCTGTATTTTCTTGCATATTTTTCTGTACGATCTTTATAAGAGTTTAGTTTTCTTGCTCCCCCAAATTCTATCAATATTCTCAACATTTGTGATATAATTATATTAGATTTTCATACTAATGTAGGAATAATTGGTTCTTTTGACTTTAAATCTTCCAATCCAATCCAATCCAATCTGAGAATATATTTTGACTATCCACTTATTCAATTTTTGTGGGGGATTATAGCAGGAAGTTTTAAAGTTCTTCTGTTTGTTTTTTTTCCATATAAACTCTGAACATTTCTTTTGATTCCAAGGCAGTTTATAAAGTATGTGATGTTTTCTTCCATTAAATCTTCTAACTGGTAGTTCTTTACAAACATAAAAGCTCTTGTTTTTAACATGTTAAATTTTTACCCAGATAATTTACTAATTCTACTATTATTTATAAATTACTCTTTTGATTTTCTTGGATTTTCATTTGTTTAGCTATTCATAAAATAATCACCCAGTGCCTACTATGTGTCCGACAGTATTGTAGGCACCGGGGATATGTACCAGGGAGTGTTCTGGGCACTGGGGATACAGCAATGAACACAACAGGAAACTCCTAATCTACAAGAGTTTACATTCTATAGAGAAGGAAAATAAATCCATTAATAAATATACATTATATCAGGAGGCACTTATGCCATGGAGACAAATAAAGCACAGTAAGGGAACAGAACATAATAGGGGTTCTGGAAGAACAGAACTTAAATGGAGTCAGGGAGTTAGTTTTGAGGATATAGGTGGAAGAGTGTTCTAGGAAGAAGAAGAAATAAATGCAAAAGTCACATGCACTTGGCATGTTTGAGGAACAGTGAAGAGGTGAGGATGTATGGGAACATGGAGTGAATAAAGGGGACAATATTTTCCAGGTTTGTAATCTTATCACCTGTATGTAGCAATTTTATCTCTTCTTTTTCACTTTTTCTGCTTCTAATTTTTTTTCATGTCTCACTGCATTAGCTAGTACCTCCAAAACAATGTGAAAGTTTTAGTAATTTCAAAGAACCCTTCCCACTCTGAGATGCTAAGAGTTGAATGAAATTAAAGCTGAAAAAGGTCTGGGTACCTGA